CTTGTGGGTCTTCTCTCGGGACCTCATATAAGTGCACACCTACTATATGTCCTGCTGTGACTGGTTTACATGACTTACAATGTCTTTCAGTTTCATATATGTTGTAACACATGTAAGAATTTATTCACCTTTTAAAGATAATGTTACATTGTACACATATATAACATTTTGTTTGTCCGTGCTGATAGATACTTGGGTGGTCTCCACCTTTTAGCTACTGTAAATAATGCCACTGTGAACATGTATACATAATGAGGCATGTATTTTTTATGACTACTTCCCGCCAGGCAATGAAATCAATTTATATTTTTGATAATTGCTCCTTGTCTGCTTCGTAACATTGAAGAACTGTACACCAGAGTTTCTTAAAGTGGTGTGCACCTGTGTTCTTTATTGTTTCAAAATAGGAGGATGTGAAGTGCATCTACAGGCCTTCACTTCACACTGAGGTGGGAAGGCCTGCTAGTTTGCTGGCGAGGAAATCATTCTCAGAGCACGGGATACACGCACAGCTGTCGAAACCCGCAGGTGACTCCGCTCTCCCGTGTGGTCAGCGATGGTGCCTCGCACCTGTCTTTCTAAGACAGCCCCCCACCCCACGCCAACTGCCTTGGGTTGGCCAGCCTCACCCCCTTTCTGTCCCTGCTCTAGTTTCTGGCTTGGGACTGTGGCTTTGTTTGCGGTAGGAGTAACCAAGAACTTTGCCTTTCTCTAAGGTTTTCTGTAGTCAAGAGACACTGAAATCAAGAACAAAAATGCTACATTCTTTTCTTTTTACCCCATTCCTCTGTGGATCCACCTGTTGCCATCCTAGTGTCCCCAGAGTTATTTGCAAATGGGATAAGAACCAACTAACAGGGCCGGGGAGATAGCTCAGTGGCTCAAGTGCCTGCCTGGGAAAATACAAGGTCCTGAGTTTAATCCCTGGCACCAAAAAAAGAACAACAACAAAAATAACAAAAGATACAGGTAGATGACAGAAAAACAATTTCTAGAGTTGGAAAAAGCTCTCCATTTTTAACCAGAGTTACAATGCCACGGAGAGGGTGACTATACTTCCTTCCAACTCCTTCAGCTGCAGGTTTCCAAAGAAGGGAAAGTATGTGGAGCGCCAGTGTGCCAGATGTCACTCAGTTCCCTGACAGCTCTGCCATGCAGGTCTCTGTCCCCCTTTACTGCTGGGAAAGCAGCCTCAGAAACACTTAGAGCTTTCCAAGGTTGAGCAAGTCTGGACATGAACCACATCTTGTGCGTCTCTACTGTTGCTGTTGACCCTCCTCTCAGATGAGGGCCTTTTCCTTATTTTCTTTGGAACAATTTTCATAAGGGAAGTGCTGTGCCTGTCTGAACCTCTTGGTGGTGTCTCAGAGTATGACATAGACCAGTGAGGGTCCTCTGGAGCAAGCCTCGGCCTGCAAAGCTCTTCACCTAGGAGGGAGCTCTTGGAGCAGGAACAGCTGCCCCGATGCCTCTTCCATCCATGCTAGGGCCTGAATGTTTGTGCACCACACCTGCATATGCTGAGATCCTAACCCTCCGGGGAATAGTCTAAGGACGTGTGGTCTTTGGGAGGTGACTGTGTCCTAAGAGTGGACTCATGCCTTTATAGTGGGATTAAAGCCCTTATGAAAGAAGCCCAATGGTGCATACAGCACTTGCCTCTTCTATCATATGAGGATACAGCTAATAGGTACCGGTAGGTGGCCAACCAGGAGACAGCATATGTCATATATTAAATCTGGAGGCTGGATTTCTCCAGAACTGTGAGATATAAATTTCTGTTGTTTATAAGCTACCTGATTTATGGTATATCGTTATCAATACCTGAATGGACTAAGACAACTTGTAATATCTCTTACTACCCATTGGTTTATTATTTTCAACAATAAAAAGGGTAGAAATAAATAATTTAGGGCAAATAAGGTAGAGGCTTCTAACTTCTAGATTTGGGACAGATAGATGAGGAGTTCCAAAAAGTTGTGGTAGCCTGTATTCCAAGAAAGCGATTGGGAAAAAGGACACCATGCTCTACCTGGCCTATTTGGACTGGGTGCAATCATGCCTGGAGCAGGGGGAGGCACCGAGTGACCTCCAGAGGCCCCAACAGTCCTGGAGGCCCCGACAGTCCTCTGGTGCAGCTGCTGCTTGGCCGCAGATGTTCCCTGTCATCCATCACTCAGTGGGTGCATCTGTTTGCGTGCTGCTTGTTTAAAAAGCAAGGCATTTGCTAATTGAAAACTAAACAACCCATCCGTCTCACTCACAGCCAACATGAAATCCACTGAGCCATGCAAGATTAGAGTAAAAAAGGCAGCGTGAATGACAGTGTCCCTGGGCTAGTACATCCCTGTGTAGGTCATCTGGGTCCTGCTTCTGCCCCCTGACCCAGCAGAGCCAGTGTCCCCATTTCAGAGCATCCAGGGTTGCCCACATTATAATTTGTCCATTATCTTCCATGTAGCTCAGGGAGTAGGTATTCTTAGTCCCAACTGAAATGTAGGAATACTGTGATCCAGAGAAATTAAATGATTTATGTAAAGTCACATAACTGGGAGGTGACAGAGGCAGGGCACCAATCTAGGTTGCTCTAGGACAGTGACAGGGAACTGTTTAAAGCCTGAGTCCCCAAACTGCAACCCAAAAGTTACTTATTTGTCACAAAGCACCAACACTGTAAGTCCGAATTCTGAGCTTTAGTTTAGACCAAATGACTGTTATCTAGTGCTTGGGCTACCGGCGCAACTCACAGACAGGGAGAGCTCTCTGTGTGTTTGAGGCAGCACGTGTGCCATGGGTCCACCATCACTTCTCTAGGACTACTTGGACCCATCCTTCAACCTATTGCTAGGTGCCGGGTTGGCAGCACTAAGTCTCTCTTGAGTGAATCAAATCTGAAGCAGACTAGCCCACGGGATACAAGGGAAACACTGGGAATTCAACTGTATCTGTAATGTTCAATTCCTTTGAGAACAAATACCTAAAATGTTTGTTGTGATATATCCCTATCAAGCCTGAAGGACTGTTGGGGACAGTCCAGATCCACACCGTGGTGCCCAAGACAGCTGGTGTGCTGTGCCCACTCACACCTACTGCCCGTCCCTCAAACGCTCCTATGGATTGCCACAGAGATGAAGGGCTGGCCTGCACCTCAGGACACAGGGACCGCTCCACCCCAGTCTCTGCGGGATCTGGAAGGAAACTCCTTCTCCCTGGGCCTCTGCTTCCCCCTCTGAAATCAGGAGGGACTAGACAAATAGAGCAGTCCTTTCTAACCCTGGTTGTCTATACTTGTGCAGCCCAGAATGGCTCAGCACCGGCCATGCTGGCTCCCCACTACACACACCAGCCCCTGGTTCGTCCCATTTCTTCTGCCTGGAATGCTCCGCCACCGTCCTCTTGGGGAGCAGTGTACTCCTTCAATACCCACTTTCTGCAAGGTCTCCCTTTCAGGGTTCCCCAGCACCTGTCTGAGCCTCGGGTATCTTCCCAGAGGTCTCCACTCTGCACTGGCAGGATGTGGGAGCAGGGGCCTGGTTTTGTTTTCCTCTGTGAACCTTGCATCTGACACGGAGCCCAGCAAAGAGAGGACAGTCAGTAAGCGATTGCTGAACAAGATGGAAAGAAAAAGGGAGAGGAAAGACTGGGGGGCGGGGTTTCCATGTCCCGAGTGACCCAGGGCAGCCCCGCACTGGTTCTCTCTGCTCTCTCTCCCTGCCTCCCGCAGCACCACACCTCAAAGGTAAAGTGGATCCCAAAGTCTTCGGCATTTCCATCCTAGGCCAACCCCTCTACCAGGATTTTCCTCTGCAGAAGTCAAGCCACAGAATTGGCCACGGAGATGTCCAGACCTGAAGTCGGAAAACGGATCCTAGACTTCTCCAGACTCCACTTGCTCCTCAAGGACTCCCTGGGTGGTGGTGCCTGGACCCGAGCTCGGGCTCCTCAAAGGACGGGATGGACCAGCAGGCCTTCAAGAACTCTGGCCAGTGGAACCTTGCCGGTCGCTCCAGGCCGGGGTGCTTGGAGCGGAGCCCCAGAGCGCGGTGGGGCGGGGCCTGGCGAGGGGCGGGGCCTGGCGCC